CCCATGTCCGTGCCTGCGCTCACGCTGTCCCCTTGCCCCCGCAGCCTGCCGGCAGGTGGAATGGGGCAGCCATGAACGGCGATGCCCTGTGCCAGGAGCCCTCCTCCCCGCTCCCTGACTGGAGGGAGTTCTGCGAGCTGCACGCCCAGGCAGCTGCCGTCGACTTTGCCCAGAAGTTCTGCCAGTTCCTGAAGGAGAACCCCCACTACGACACCCCTGGGGCAGAGACCTCCTTCTCCCACCATTTCGCCGCCAACTTCTTGGACATCTTCAGCCTGGAGGTCAGCCGGGTGTTCGTGTCCGACTCCCCCACCAAGTACAACATCGTGCCCTTCGTGGGGCTGCAGAACTGCCACGTCCCCTACGGGCGTGAGGTCACCCCGAGGAAGGAGGAGACCTCCACCGAGTCCCTGGACAGCATGGACACCCCGTTGGGTGCCGGACGGTACCTGAGCCCGGCGCAGCAGGTGCAGGCACGCAAGGTGTCCTCCTACGGCCAGTCCCGCAGCTCGGAGGATGTCTCCATCCATGCTGCCGCCAAGCCCAAGTTCAAAAAAGGCTTCTCCTTGAGGAACATGAGCTTGTGCGTGGTGGACGGTATGAAGGAGATGTGGCATCGCAAGTCCTCTCCGGAGCCGGGCACCGAGACTGCCCCGGGTGGCCGCAGAGCCGAGAGAGAGCCGTGGCCGGCCGGGGGCAAGGAGCCCGGTGACCCGCGGGAGAAATGGACCCACAAGCTGCGCCTGTCCAAGGTGCCCTCCTCCAAGGTGGAGCTGGTGGACATCCAGCGGGAGGGGACGCTGCGCTACATGGTGGCCGACGACACGAACTGTGTGGGGAGCTCACAGTGGCAGAAGTGCCGCCTCCTGCTCCGGAAAGCAGTAAAAGTGGAAGGAGAGAGGTTCCTCCTCGAGTTTTACGTCCCTCCGAAGGTGAGTCCTGGCTTTTCTCCGCTGTTGTTTTTCTGAGCAATTCAAGCGGCAGTTGGGCTTTGTTTGAGTGGTTTTTTTATTTCCACTGCTGAGCTGGGATGAAATCCAGCTCTGGTCCAGAGGGGGGCGTTGGTGCTGGGTGGCTGAGATGCGAATGGAGGGGACAACACAATTGAAACCCGTCCCACCCGCAAGCCCCAATTGCTGCCGTTCACCAGGGCATAGCCCCCTCCTTCCCCCGCAGCCCTTGGGAGAGATGCTGAAGCCTCTGCCTGGTCCTTTGGCCCTCATATATCAGCAATTTCAGTGGAAAAGCTCATTCCCCCATCAAGACGTGGGGTGTCCAGGCTATCCAGAGGGTGTTTTCTCTTCCCAACGTGTTGCAGAGGCATGGGGTTGACTGGTGGCTCGCGCAGCGGCAGAATGGCTGGGATTGCTGCCTGGGCTTTGTGCTTTAGATCTGAGGGTCACTAGTCCACTTTCTGAAAGCAATTCTTTTTTTTTTTTTTCTTCTAAAAATAACAATTCATTTGGAATAATTTTGCGTCCGCAAGGCTCCCTCCAACGCAGCTTTTTGGTGACGGGGACAGAAGACGCCGGTGTTGCCCTCCGGGGCTGGAGCATCACTGCCGTGGGTGGCTTTTGTAGCTCTCTTCCCATGCAGCCCCCACTACTTCTCCTCCTGGGCAGAGGAACACCACTTATTGTTATTATTACCCACAATATCACTTTTCCTTGCCTGCATCTTTTCTTCTTCTGTAACTTCAGTGAAAGCTTCAAAAGCAGGAGCTGGTTTTCATTGCAGCGTGTCCTTGGCGCGTCTTCCCTCCCCTCTCGCACGCGGCCCCCCTGCACGTGATGCAGGGAAGCGCTGTCCCTGTTTTCCTGGAGCAAAGGCTGAGCGATGGAGCGGTTTGCTCAAGAAATGTGGATTATGAGACTTTCAGTCTCCTTCTTGCCGCAGGGACCGCCTTTGCTCCTGGGCTGAGCGAAGGGATGCATTGCGCTGCCGAACCCTCACCTGTGCTAACGCCGTGATCGTGCCTCGTCGGTGTTGTGTGTTCACCTCTTCGAACAGCACAGGGCAAATAATAAGCCATTCTCTGGGGTTTTACTAGCTGTATGTGTTGGTAATGAAATCTCAGGTTATTTAAATACCCAGGGAAGAAAAATCTTGTTTACTTCACCTTCCCCACTTGTGTTTCAGTCCCTGGTAGCAAAGCTGGGCCAACACAAGCCCTCGTGCCGGGCACGTGCCCAGGTCTGCGGCTCCGCAGGTCTCGGTGTGTTCCAAACCCCCGGTAACCCTCGGTTTGGTAGAAGGATGGATCTGTACACTGTACATAGGGACAGCAGGATAGTTCATATTTTTAAACAGCATTTTCTACTTTTCTGAGGCCAAAAGGAACCTTGGCGCTGTTGGTGTTAGTCCGTGCCTCTCACCTAACTGTCACATCTCTCCCGATAAAATATAAAACATGAGTTTAAACTCAAGTGCATCTCTCTAGAGTGGCTCAGCGCTGGTATGGATGGTGCGCATCACTGGTAGCTGGCTCGGGGGGCTTCCTCAGCCCAGGGACCACACGAGACCCCGGCTGGAAGGGAACCACCCTGTCCATGGCATGGTACACGGGGGATCCGGTGAACCCGGTGGGTGCGGGCTGCACGGAGCAGCGCTGGCGAGTCTGCTGCACCAAAGGGGCAATAAACTCAGGTTAAAATGGAACAACTGCTGCTCTTAAAACATTTAAGAGAGTGCTCATAGAGGGATTTTTCTAGTGTATCTTGACTTGCCTCTAAAAATCAATTTTGAAATTACTTTATGGCAACTTTTATGAACATTGTCTGCTCTCCTGTTATAATCACACCCTGCTTTGGTTTACATCTTTCTTCCCCCATCCCATCTTGCTTTCCATCTGGCAAATGATTCAGCTGTAAAAGTGGCACCAGCCTGGCACAGCTGGAGGAAAACAGCTTTTTGCTTCAGCAGCCCGCAGGTTTGTTTTTGCGTAGGCCCTACAAAAACTATGGTCATGTCTTTAAATCTTTAAAGGGAAGAGCCCTCCTGGAGAAGACCCTTCTCTGGCTCACCGGTGAAGTAACACCATATTTTCTTCCCTTTTGAAGCAGCTGCCTCTTCTTTTCTGACCTTCTCCCGTGCAAACACCAAGAGGGAAAAATTCCCCAGGGCAGGGCTGAGCCCTGCACGGCCCAAGACGCGTGTGGGGGCAGTGCTGGGGCCCCGGGGCTGGCGGAAACGAAATGTCCTGGAGGGGAAAAAGCAGTTCCTGTTCTGTCTTGGATTTATTTATTTTTTTCCCCCCCAAAATGGGAACTGAACCCGTTGTTGGTAACCTGCAGCCTGGTGCTCATCGCCGGCCTCGTCCCACCCTGTGCACCCAAGGCACCAGGCGCAGGTTTCGGTGACTAAATTGCATCTCTGCTTCCCGCAGCTGTGATGCTCCGAATCCCGGAGCCCCGGAGGGGACCGGCCCCAGGGAGCAGCTCTGCGGGCTCCTTTTGGGGGGATTTGTTATAATTAAAACAAGTATCTGGGGAACTTGTTGCTCAGCAGAGACTTCAAGTGGGAGGCACTGGGTCCTGCCCCCCCATCAAGGCTCCGGCGGGTGCCGGGGGCCCCAGGGGAAATTAATTTTTCTTTATCTTAATGTAATTAAAATTCCCTGCATGGCTAAGGCTGCTGTGTCGTAGCTTCTCGGATGAAAGGCCGCTCCTGCACTGGATAAACGGGGAGTCTTCCTGGGCTGCTTGCTGCAGAGGAACCGTCCCCCGTCAGACAGCACATCTCCATCGGGAAAGGGTTTATAAAGGAGAGAAATAAGTGGTCTTGGCAGAGCTGGCATATCAGCCTGTGCTGGAGCAAGGAAGAGGTTCGGCAGTTAAATGCACTAACCTCCCTATCTTCCACCGGGCCTCCTCTTCTTGGTTTAATTAAAAGAGCTTGGAGTTATCAGGCACATGAGGGAAATCAATGCTTTTTTTTTTTTTTCCCCTCCCCCTGTAATAACCATGCAGGCTGAGCTGCGATCTCGCCTCTCTGAGAGCCCCGCTGTGTCGTCCCCCGGGAGAGTGATTCAATTGAGTGACTTTTTTTTTATTTATCGATTTCTTTTAATAACTTTTCTTTTCCCAGGCTTCCAAACCCAAGGTGAGCATCCCACTGTCGGCCATCATCGAGGTCCGCACCACCATGCCGTTGGAGATGCCTGACAAAGACAACACCTTCGTCCTGAAGGTGAGAGCAGGGCGGCAGCGGTGTGTATCCCGACGGGGACCCCATCTGCGCCCACATCCAGGCCCCACTGCAGGGATGCTCAGTCCCCAAGGGGATTGTTGCCTTGGTTTTCGGAGCGGAGATGCCAACAGCGCTAATGCTCCCCGTGGGACTCCTGCCTCCCCTCCCCGGGCTGTGCCTTCCCCCAGAAATGATGCAACGTCCACCTGATGCCTGGGTATTTTGGGACTGAGCTGTTTGCCTGGCTTTCACCGTGGGTTTTGCTTCTCCATGTCACCAGGAGACGGGTTAAATTGTGTCCAGAGACAATCTGCAAGGGGAAATGCTCATTGGTACGGCTGCCCGTGGTTTTGTGGCTGCTGCTGCCCTGGATCAGTGGCACGTGGTGGCCGTTTCATTGGCACGGGGCAATGGGAATGGCTGTGCGGGGCCACCAAGGCCCTGCAGGTCAACCACCCCATGTGAGTCTGGGGGCACGAGCACAGAGTGAAAGTCTCTCTTGCTCCAGAAAGAGTTTTCCATATCATGCAATTAATTAGCTTAATGCTCCCTCCCGCTCTGCCGAAAGGCAGCAGCCTGTCACAGCAGATCAGGACTGAATTTCACAAGGTCCAGGCTCAGGGCGCGACGTGCCGCCGTGATGATGGACGTGTTGTTGGAGATGGCATTTCCCTCCAGCTAATGAGGCTGTGTCTCCCCGCTCATGCTAATGGACTCATGCTCTCCATCAGAGCTGTTGGACGTGCCTGGCTGGGAGGTAGCACGTGTATGTGGGGGAAGAGCAGTGTTTTGAGGATTTCTGTGTCCTACCTCTGCTAAAAAAACACCTCTCTCCCTGATGCTTCTCCCTAAAAGCATGTGGCAAAGGCAGAGTGGAGAGGCCAAGCTTCCCAGCTGAGTGAACCTGCTTAAAAGCTTAGAAAACTGTGAAAGCAGAGGAGGGGAAAAAATTGAGCCTGGCTTCATAAAAGCCTCTGTGCCTGGTTGCCCATCTGGCCCCAGCACATATTTCTGCGGGAAATTGCTCTCCACCAAACCCGGCTCCTTGTAAAGGTCCCACACCGTCTACTGGCAGCCTCCTCCAGGGCATCCTCCCTACCCCAAGGGCTTCTTGCTGTTCAACCTCAACCTCTGCTGCGGCCAGTGTCCACCATGGACGTGGAGGCTAATTCGGCTATTATCTTCTGTGCCTCAAAGACCAACCTCATGTGGCGTCTTCTCTCCAGACTGACCAGCCCAGGTTCTCCCCACTTTCCTTGCAGGCTCTGGAGAGAGCTTGCCCCAAAGCGTACGTGGTGCAATGGCCAGGAGCGGATGGGAAGGATTGCTTCTCCTTTGATTGCTTCTCCTTTCTTCTTCCTCTTTACCTAGCCCAAGTTGATCCAGTTGCTTTCTTTGTAGCCTGATGATGATGTTGACTCATAAGCAGCTTGTGGTCTGGTGTAACCCCTAGGCACTTTTTGCAGAACCGTTCCAGAGTCACGGTTCCCCAGCCCAGACACCCACAGTGATCAGTGCGAGTCCAGAGCTCACCCATGTCCTTGAGCTGGGGGCTGGCTTGGGCTTTTTCTTCCACAAAGCATTTCTCAGCTTTGACAAGTTCATTTGAATTCTCGTCTCATCCTCCAACACACTTGCAACGTGGTGTCATCCGTGAATTGATTAGGCATCTCCTCTCTGCTCTTGTCCTAATCATTACTGAAGAGCAGCATGCACGGAGAGAGTCCTTGGTGTGAAGGAGCTTCTGAGCCTATCCCTCAGCTTTGATCATTAGCCATCGATAATCCATTAACTATCGATAACTGCTCTTGGAATATGGCTCATCAGCTACTTGTGATCATGTTTTCTAGATCCCCTTACAAGTCTCATCTCAACCGTGTCTTGCTACCCGCCTTGTTGGAGTGTCACATCAGTGTCCAAAGCGTGGCCAAGGCCAAGGATGTGACACTGCTTCTCCCCATCCCTGGGGCTGTCATGAGCAACTGCAGATGGGCTTGACAGGGTTAGGTCGTGGCGGATCCCTGTTGGGGGGATTCAGCTCCGGGGTGCTTCCTGGGTACCTGTGGAGGGTTGGTTTCTGCGGCTGCTGGAGGAGGGCTCTGGGCTTGCCCTCTTCCCATCTTCTGGAGCCAGACAAGCTCTCTCCACTCCCACCGCTAATGGCTCTGTGACTGCTTCAGCCATTTCTTTAATTACCCTGGGGAACGCTCCAAACCCCGCTGGTCTGAAAATGCCTGATTGACCAGGTACCCTCCTGCTCCTGCCCCGTTCCGGCCAGGGCGCTTACGCTGCCGCGGGGTTAATTGATTGCAATCGATCCTTTGAGTGAGCCGAGGCTGCGAAGGAGGCATTGAGCCCATCGCTGGCTCCCCATCTCCTGCCGCTCCAGCCAGCCTTTGCCCTCCCCTCCCAGCCGTCAGCACAGGCTGCTTTCCCCCTATTCCCGACATCCCAGCCCTTCTTGCTGGGACATCTTGCTGCTCTTTTGCGTTCTCCCTTTGCTGGCTGGACTCGCAGAGCAGGTGAAGCACCCCTCAATGTCAGGGTACGGATTAGAGGGGTAAGAAAGGGAGCTGGGTGCTGTGGTTTTCCCGCTGCCTTCCTGTGTACAGGGTTGATGTGGAGCCCGACCTCAACCTTCGCACGCAACACACCGCACTCTGGCAGGTTATGACGGGTGGAAAAGCTTCTGCCTTGTTCGGGGAGGCCACGCTGGAATAGTTTCTGCCAAATTGCCTAAAAATTAGCAGGCAGCCTGTCCCCACCGCCCGTCAGACACCGAGCACATGCTTTTTTTTTTTTTTTTTTTTTTCCATTGCACAAGCAGGCACTTGCAAAATACCCAAGCCCTGCACGTGCTTCACTTGCTGTCATGCTCTGCATGCGAGAGCAGCCCCGTCTCCCACACCGGCTTCATGCATTGCCCTCAGAAAGCTGGAGAGGCTCCTTCGCTCTGGTTAAACAAAACAGGGGGGGATCTTTGCTGCTCCCCTCCACCTCTGCTCAGGGCAGGATGGCCCGTGCACGGCCCTGGGCTGCAGCAGGGAAGCAGATCGCTGCTCGGCCCCAGCCCAGGTGCTTGGGTACAGCTTTCTGCATGTCCTGCTTATTTTCAGGACAGCGATTCAGTTGTTTGTGATTAACTTAATTTGCTAGGAGGTTGTCTCAGCCGGCAATGCGATACCCTCCCGCAGTCAGGGCTGCCTTGCCAGCTCGGAAACGCGATGTATAAGGGGTCCGGGAGGGATCTGGGGAAACCTGCCAGAGGCACGTAGCACCGCATGGGGTGGCTTCTGAGTCCCTCTGCCCTGCTGCCCCATTGCTGATGTGGGGATTTTCTGGGTCCTCCCTGGCCCCAGAAAGGCCGAGCTCCTTCAGGCTTGTGATTTTGGAGGCTTTTTTGCATCCTGATTTTTATTTTATATTTGTTCTTGTTAAAGTAGGTCTCTCTCCCACCCTGTTGCAATCAGAAGCCTCATGGACCAGCAGGCAGAAAAGATAACAGAGGAGAGTTTAAAAACTCCTGGGTTTAGGGGTCTGGCAGGATTTTGGGGCAGTGGGAGGGCAGCATGGCTTCTGCTCTACCTGTGCAGAGCTAGTGTTTGGGGGACACCTGGGCACCCCAGAAGCGAGGCGTGCTGTCTGTGCTGGTGTGTGGTGCCATGCACCCCCGATGCCACCGGCCAGGTGTGGTTTTGCCACGGAGGCTGTAAAAACCTTGTGATACGTTTGCTGATAACAGTGGGGTGGGGGTTTTCCCCCGAGCCCCGGCTTTGGTCAGGGGACACCCCTGGACACACTAAAGCATCTCTGTGGGTCACCCCTCGGCATCCCTTTGCTGGGATGGGAGGGGGCACTTATCCTCTCCTGTTCAATCGAGGTGCTATTTACTAGCAGCAGGTGAATGAGGAGGTCTGGCTGGGTTATGGGGTGTGCTTTGCCCCAGGGGGGCGGTGGGACCCCAGCCGCAGCCTGACGCTATCCCACATTGCCTGCAGGTGGAGAACGGGGCCGAGTACATCCTAGAGACCATCGACTCCCTGCAGAAGCACTCCTGGGTGGCGGATATCCAGGACTGCATTGACCCTGGGTAAGGCTTGCTGGAAAAAGGTGCTGTGCAGGGGCTAGGCTCACCACTGCTGTGGGTGCCCTCACCACCGACCACGGGTTATTACCCCTGATGCAATTTTTGCTACTTGAGTTATTACAGAAAGTCCCTGACTCATGCCAGCAGAAGTCTGGAGGCAAAGTTAGCAGCCTGTGTGTGTCAGAGGTGCAGCCTCGCAGAGCACTGGCTGCTTGCTCACCCTTTCCTGCTCCATGTCGCCTTGGCCAGGCAGAGGCAGGTGACCTGGGAACACAGCCCTCAACACGGGAAGCTCCTAACACCCACCCTCTGAAGCTATATACTATATCTGAGCTATTTTCTATGCTTTTTTCCAGTCCAGCATCCATGGTATATTTAAGATTCTGCTGGCTAAATCAATTTATTTATGTTTCTATCACCATCACTATGACAGTAATGCTGTCACTGGAGTCACAACAACTCTCCCAAAACTTCTCGTCTGCTTTTTCATCAGCCCGTGCATTGGGTTACGCTGTAGGGAGGTTCGCGTGCCCGGCGCTGCCGCCCTTCAGCTGGCTCGGACAGGCCCAGTCCCGGGGAGGCAGGATCAGCCCAGGTACTCCCCGGGCAAACCCTGGCACTGCCATTCTCGGCACAATTTTGGAAAAACAAGGTGCCCAAGCTTGCAGAGGTGAAAACCTCGAGCAGACCTGGAACAGGGGCTTGGAGAGGCTCCAGCTCCCCCGGGCTGCCCTTGCCCCCTTCTGTCGAAGAGATGCGGTTCGGGTGCTGCAGGGTTGGTCACGGCGGAGGCTGCATCTTGCAGGGAGGATGCACTAATGGACTGCAGATCTGTGCTCCTTCAGCTCCTTTTGCTGCTTTTTAAAATATATAATTCAAGAAGCGACACTGAGGCTGGGCTGCTGACAGAGGCGAGGCTGGGAAACGTGGCCCTTTTTCTCCCAGTGTGTGTGTATTGGTGCTGGTTTTCCAGACGGAGCCGAGTGCCGCGGCCGTGCTCACCTCGAGCCGCTGCAGAAGCCACCGGCAGCCCTTCGCCAGCCCCTTGCTCTGCCACCAGCAGCCTCCCAGCCTTTTATGTTTGCTTAGCACCCAGCACAGTCCCGCTTTGGCCTCCGGACGTGACTGTAAAGCAAATAATAATGAACTCCAGAGCAAATAATAATGAGCTGTTTAATACACCGACACACACGCTTGGTGCCAAGAATGAATTTTCAATCAGCTCCTGATGCTTTTGCCAAGGGCTGCGCGCTGGAGCCGCTGTGTGAGCACCCGTCGACGGCTTTTCTGCAAAGCACTGTTGGTTTTGGTTTCCTTCCTCCCTACTTGTTTTTAACCGGCTGCATCTGAATGACTCCCAGTGGCTGATTCACTTACTGGCCACTAAATAATTCAGCAGCTCCCTCATGAGCCATTACTGCTAACGCAGCCGCTTCCTCCGTGCCTGTAACGCAGCCGCTTCCTCGCTGCCTGTGCCCACGTGGCCACTGTTAAGCAAGAGTAGCCGAGTGCCACAGGCAGCGCCAGGCTCTTGCCGGCGGCCAGGATAAAAATAGGCTGTGGAGCAAGTGGGGGGGGGCTTGTGCAAGAAGGGTGCTGAAGTGCATGGGCAGGGGTCGGGCAGCAGGGATGCTCTACGTGGGGGCTGCACCGCTGCGGCGCCCCCTTGCCCTGCTCCTGCTCGCTGGCTCGCTCTGGGCCTCCCGGCTTGGTTTTTTGGTGTCTTTTGGGGACGTAATTCCTGTGGGTTGGTAATTCCCTTTGCAGAGGGTAAAAGCGAAAGCACCCTTGCGTGGAAGTTGGTGGTGGGAGCGTGTGTGCATCTACGTATGTCTTGCAAAGCAAAGCGCTGAAAGACGAGGTAACATATTTCCATCCAAACCAACAAGGTTGCAGCAAAATACTGCAGCTAGGACCAGCTGGCGTGACCCACATAGCGAGGGCTTTCAAGGGTTTAATCCCCTCACACCGGTATCTCACCCCCAAAAGGCCGTTTTGCCGGCCGTTCTGCCTCTCGATGCTGTAGGCACTTCTGTCCGTGGCAGCCCCTCCAGGAGGAAGCGAGGAGCATTGGGATGTGCTTCCGGATCACAGCTGGAATTTCATTTGGTCAAGAGTCCTCTGCTCACAGGCACGTGAGCAGAGGTGCGATGCGTGCATCCCTGCAGTGTGGCGGCTGGCGTGTGACTGTCTGCTCTGTGCTCTCCCCCCAGGGACAGCGGGGACGACATCGAGCTGGCATCCTGCGCGCAAGGAGCCTGTCTGCCAGGCAGGGTGTCCTCCTGCAGCTGCGAGTTCCTGGCTGACAGTAAGGACCTACGTTTGGGAAAAACACCCGCTGGGGAGGGTGGGGGTCGCCAGGTGCCAGCTCTGGTTTGGGGGGGGCCAGATCCTGCCAGCGATAAAGTGAAGGAGCCTGAAGCAGGTGCTTGTGGGGATGGGTCTTCTGTCTATCACCTTCCTCTTCTTCATGCTAGCCCCCATCCTGGGGAGGTGGCCCACCCCATTTAAGACATCAATGTTCCTGTGCATCCTGGTACGTGTTGAAAATCTAGTCCCCCATCTGCAGGCACTGGGGTCTCCAGGTCCCAGCAAGCAGCCTCCACCTGCATAGCCCCACCTTGTCTCCATGCCCAACTAAGATGCATCCGTGTCCCCCATTCCGGTCGCACCGGGGGAAGGAAACTCAGTGCAGGCTGAAAGGGAGTCCCCTGAGTTGCGGCCAGAACCATAACTAGCCCTGAGATGTCTCCGAGAGCTCAGGGTGCTCCAGTGCAGTGGCCTTTGGAGCAGGACAGCCCCTAGCCTTGTCCGGTGATGCTGAGCCACGAGCCCATCCCTCTACAAATTCCCTTCCAGATGTGCCCAGGCCACTGGACAGATGTGCCCTGCCCGGCGCTCACAACACTGCCACAGCCACCGCCATCCCTGCGCCCCACGGCCGGGGCAGGGACTCCCTGGGGGAGCTCCTCACCCACGTCCCACTGGAGAGCTTCCTGCAGACGCTGGAGTCCTCCCCTGCCGCCAGCGGGCGTCTCTCAGGTACTGGGATGCAGGATGCGGCCCCAGCACCTCACTCTTGGGGGTGCACGGAGGGAGAGGAGGAAGGGGTGGGAGAGGGCGATGTCCGGGTGCTCCCTAAAAACCTGCTGTCCCTGTGGCCAGGGGAGGACAGCGAGGCGGAGGCAGAGATCAACCTCTCCGACTTCCCCTGGTTCCATGGGACTCTCTCGCGGATCAAGGCGGCTCAGCTGGTGCTCTTCGGGGGTGCCCGGAGCCATGGCTTATTCGTCATCCGGCAGAGCGAAACACGGCCGGGGGAGTACGTGCTGACCTTCAACTTCCAGGGGAAAGCGAAGGTGGGTGTCCTTTGCTTCTCCCTGAATATTAGTGCCAGCCCTGCCCAGCACCCTGGGCTCCTTCCCGCCCTGCTGGGGCTCTGCGAGCAAGTGGGTGCCATGCGGTGACCCCAAACATGGCAGCTCTGTGGGGACCTGCACCCTGGTAGAGCATCCCTCAGAGCCACCTGCCCTTGTCCCCCAGGAGCCCTCTGCACCCTGCCCAGGCCCATCAGCACTTTTCCAGGTGGATCAGTGCTTGCCACGCAGGCATAAGTTTAAATACCCCACGGGAGCCCAGCGTAGTCTGGCACATCATCCCCTGCCCTCTTCTTGTCCGCTCCACATCCTGAAGTACACGGATGTGCTATAAAAAAACAACCCATGTGTAGTTTTCTGCTGGGTCCCTCTTCTACCAGAGGGCGTACACTGCGAGGGGTTGAGATATAACTGCCTGGTTATCGTTCAGGTGGCCTCTGGGCTTCCCTAGGCTGTGTCGCCAGGATTGGAGCTGCAGCCCCTGCCCGGCTGCACCCAACCACCTTCCTCTGGCTGCTTCTGTACGGTGTTCATCACCAGGAGGGGACCAACTTCTCCTGGGGATGCAGCGAGTGGGGTTTTGCAGGAAACACCCTGCAGCAGGAGACCCTCCCGGCCAGGCAGGGAAAAAATCACAGTCCTATGTTATGAGCAAACCTCCCTTGGCTGATGGAGGTGGCTCCTTCTGCTGATTGCAAGGGTGAATCTCACCCTCGCAATCCCCAGCTCACCCGCTGGCCCCTTGCGCTTGCAGCACCTCCGCCTGTCGCTGAACGAGAGCGGGCAGTGCCACGTGCAGCACCTCTGGTTCCAGACCATCTTCGACATGCTGCGCCACTTCCACACGCACCCCATCCCCCTTGAGTCGGGCGGCGCAGCCGACATCACCCTCCGCAGCTACGTCGTGGCCCAGAGCGTCCTGCCCGGTAGGTGCCGGGGCTGTGCTGCTGCTGGGTGGGGGCACGGCTGCATGTGGAGGGCTCAGTTTGTGTTAGGGCTGGGATCGCACATGGACCCAAAAGGGACTGACCCCTGGGATCCCTCCACCGACCCCCTCCCTAAAGCTGTGCCTGTGTCGGTGCGCATGGCTCTGGAGATGCCCCAAGGTTTGCATTATCCCATTGAAGGTGGGCAGGGAGGACCACGCAGCATCAGGGCTGTGCTGGGGTGACCCCTGTGTCCCCGGCTGTGGGTATTAGTCCCCTGGCTTGAGCAGGAGAGGAGCAGAGGGGTCTGCAGGGCTCGGCAGGGCTCAGAGCATCCTGCTATGCTGGGAGAGGGTGGGCAAGGAGGATTGGGGAAGGACAGGGTCAAGGATGGAAAGAGCGAGCAAGGGAGAGGGTGGGTGTGGAAAGGTGCCAGCGAAGGAGAGGAGGGGCTGAGCCCCCAGGCAGTATTGGAGGGGTCAAGCTCCTATCTCCCTTGCAGACACCGGCCCCCCGCCAGCCCTCGTGTCGCAGCCGCCAGGCTGCCGGGTCGACCTGCCACCCCCGCACTACTTCTGCAGCACAGCACCCACCGGCCCACCGGCCCTGCCACCTGCCGAGGGGGTGGCCGTGGCCCCTGGTGTGCA